GTTGAAGGCGTTTTTTTTTTCTTTTTCATAAAGGTGAATGAGTTAATGTAACTGATTGATCACCCTCTGGCTGAAAATGTTAAAGTTCATTTTACAAAAGGAAGATTAAAAAGGAATGGAAGAACAGATAAACCAGGTTTGTAAACCAGGTTCCACATCAGTTAAGATCCAGGCTGCAATCATCTGCTGCTGTGGCTCCACTGCGTTATATGACGTTTAAAGATGGCAGAGCCGTATGCAGCGCTGTCCAACTGCTGACAGGAGATGCTCATTTCATTTTCAGCTGTCAGAGGAACTAAAATCTGTTTTAACCAACATGCTGTTTATGGACCGCCGTTTGTAAAGTTAAGCAGTCAAAAATTAGCAGCAATATTTATGGTTATTTAGCGTGTTTTAAGAGAAAAATAAGGAGATTGTTTTTTTCCCAAGTAATTTTTTAACTGTCATTCATTCATTTATAAAAACCTTACTTTGTTAAATAAATCTTTAGTTCGGAGCTAAATATTTAGTTTGCAAATTACATATTTAGTTTGGAGCTAAATATGTATTTTAAAAATCTAAATATTTACTTTGGAGCTAAATATTTATAAAAAAACAAAACAAAAACAAAACTAAATATTTAATTTGCAAACTAAATATTTGATTTGAACCTAAATATTTATTTAACAAACTAAACATTTAATTTGCAAAGTAAATATTTAGTTCAGAGCTAAATATTTAGTTTGCAAATTGAAAATTTAGTCTTGAACTAAATATTTATTTAACAAACTAAATATTTTGTTTGGAGCTAAATATTTATTCAAAAAAATCTAAATATTTATTTTGCAAACTAAATATTTTGTTTGGAGCTAAATGTTTAGTTTGCACACTAAATATTTATTTAACAAACTTAACATTTTGTTTGACCTAAATATTTATTTAACAAACTTAACATTTTGTTTGACCTAAATATTTATTTAACAAACTTCATATTTAATTTGCAAACTAAATTTTTAGTTTGGAGCTAAATATTTATTTAACAAATTAAGGTTTTTTATAAATGAATGAATTACATAGTGAAAAAAATAAATTGAAAAAAAACCCAAAAAACTCTTTATTTTTCTCTTAAAACACACTAAATAACCATAAATATTGCTGCTAATTTTTGATTACTTAACTTTACAAACAGTGGCCCATAGCTGTCACTGTACTCTATTTAGTTTAACAGCATCAGAATGCATGTGGCTAACCAGAAATTAACAAACAGATCATCAGAACCACAGGATGATCAGTTTGGGGCTGGATCTTTCATTTCTATTATAAACTCAATTTAGGTCTTTTTTATTGTCTTTAAGCTTTAATCATCAAATTTACATGAACATAAACAGACTTCAACTAAATCAGAATATAAGTACTGTATATGGTAATTACACAAAACGTGAGAAAGTAAAAAAAAAAACACTTAAATGTATTTTCCAAATAATATGGTGAGTTATGCTTTATGAATTTAAACAATAGTTTAAAAAAAGATGGGAACTTTTGTTTGCGGTGTTTTGTTTCTCCTAAAAAGTGTTACTATTAATGTTGTTATCCCTGCCAATAAGTCAGCCCAGCTTTCATCACTAAGCGCACTCTAAATGTTTTTTTCTGTGGAGCTCCTACTCCAGATGTTACGGCTTCATCCGGAAGTGTTGCAGGCTGTCTGCTCTCTGCTGCCATCTCCTGGCGGACAAGGAGTCCAACTTTTTGCTTCCATTTGCAGAACTTTGCGGTGAAGCTTCCAGCCATCAGACAGCGGAGCTTAGCAGGGATCCGGAGCAGCGTTTGTTTCAGCGGGTCTCCCCGAACAGAGGCCGAGCGGAGCCGGAACCGCCCCCCTGCCTGTCAGTCACCGTCACAGACCGGGGAGCTGCACAATCCGCGCGCGACTTTCAGCCCTCGAGCGCGTCTCCCCGTCTCTCTCCCACGCGCGCAACTTAAAGCCAGCCTCAGCACCGCGAAGATGTCCGAGTTCTTCAGCCTGTCGGACTGCGACGTCATCGGCTTTGATCTGGACCACACGCTGTGCCGCTACCGTCTGAAGGAGACGTCCAGGGTGAGTGTCGCTCCTCAGGTAAATAACCGGACGGTGGCCGTGAAGGTTCGAGCTGTCCTTGCGCGTGGAGCCACAGACAGCTTCAGCCTGCTCTGGCGCGTGCCAGGAGAGGGCACGCTGCTGGGAGCGCTATGCCCTTTGATGTGTGCGGCTGCTCTGCAGTCACTCCGCGTGACTCACAGGTTGGAGCGTCGGTGGATGCGCTGCTGTAGCGCGCGGCTGGATCCCCCTGAGGCCGAGCTGGAGCCCGATGCTCCTGCTGACATCTTCCTGCTCCCAGAGAGAACAGCTGGCGGAGCGCGGCTCCTGTTTCTGGCCTGCATCTGAACCAGGCCGAGGCTCCAATACAGACACAGGTCCTGTTGGTCAGGCTGTAGGAAGCCAGCAGTGACAACAAATAAAGATTTCCCTCTGATATGATGACAGATCAACAGGGGCGGATTTAGGAAATGTGGGGCCTTAGGCAAAGACAGGTAGGGGGCCTTCTGAATGG